AGTAAAAATTAAGTTGAACGGGTTTGCAATTTTGTTAGTAATACAAGTAAATATTTAGTCAGACATTCTTGATTTGACCTTCAAACGACCTTGAATGACCTTGAATGACCTTGACTTGACCTTCAAATGACCTTGAATGACCTTGACTTGACCTTCAAATGACCTTGAACGACCTTGACTTGACCTTGAGTCATGCTTTTAAGTAGTATTACTCAGCAGTAGTACAATTTTTCCAGTAGTATTTCTCAGCAGTAGTACAATTTTCTCAGTAGTATTACTCAGCAGTAGAATAATTTTCTCAGTAGTATTACTCAGCAGTAGTACAATTTTTTCAGTAGTATTACGTAGCAGTAGTACAATTTTCTCAGTAGTATTACTCAGCAGTAGAATAATTTTCTCAGTAGTATTACTCAGCAGTAGTACAATTTTTTCAGTAGTATTACTCAGCAGTAGTACAATTTTTCAGTAGTATTACTCAGCAGTAGAATAATTTTCTCAGTAGTATTACTCAGCAGTAGTACAATTTTCTCAGTAGTATTACTCAGCAGTAGAATAATTTTCTCAGTAGTATTACTCAGCAGTAGTACAATTTTTTCAGTAGTATTACTCAGCAGTAGTACAATTTTTCAGTAGTATTACTCAGCAGTAGAATAATTTTCTCAGTAGTATTACTCAGCAGTAGAATAATTTTCTCAGTAGTATTACTCAGCAGTAGTACAATTTTTTCAGTAGTATTACTCAGCAGTAGTACAATTTTTCAGTAGTATTACTCAGCAGTAGAATAATTTTCTCAGTAGTATTACTCAGCAGTAGTACAATTTTCTCAGTAGTATTACTCAGCAGTAGAATAATTTTCTCAGTAGTATTACTCAGCAGTAGTACAATTTTTTCAGTAGTATTACTCAGCAGTAGTACAATTTTTCAGTAGTATTACTCAGCAGTAGAATAATTTTCTCAGTAGTATTACTCAGCAGTAGTACAATTTTCTCAGTAGTATTACTCAGCAGTAGTACAATTTTCTCAGTAGTTTTACTCAGCAGTAGAACAATTTTCTCAGTAGTATTACTAGGCAGTAGTACAAGTAAAAATTAAGTTGAACGGGTTTGCAATTTTGTTAGTAATACAAGTAAATATTTAGTCAGACATTCTTGATTTGACCTTCAAACGACCTTGAATGACCTTGAATGACCTTGACTTGACCTTCAAATGACCTTGAATGACCTTGACTTGACCTTCAAATGACCTTGAACGACCTTGACTTGACCTTGAGTCATGCTTTTAAGTAGTATTACTCAGCAGTAGTACAATTTTTCCAGTAGTATTTCTCAGCAGTAGTACAATTTTCTCAGTAGTATTACTCAGCAGTAGAATAATTTTCTCAGTAGTATTACTCAGCAGTAGTACAATTTTTTCAGTAGTATTACTCAGCAGTAGTACAATTTTTCAGTAGTATTACTCAGCAGTAGAATAATTTTCTCAGTAGTATTACTCAGCAGTAGTACAATTTTCTCAGTAGTATTACTCAGCAGTAGTACAATTTTCTCAGTAGTTTTACTCAGCAGTAGAACAATTTTCTCAGTAGTATTACGAGGCAGTAGTACAAGTAAAAATTAAGTTGAACGGGTTTGCAATTTTGTTAGTAATACAAGTAAATATTTAGTAAATATTTTTTAACTTTCATTAATTCTTTAAATTTAAATTAAAACTATACTTTATATATACCGATCGATTTGTCTTAACGAAGGAATACAATTTTATTATATATAACCTTAAATTTTTCTATTTCAACATTTTTTCATATAAAAAAATTTTTTGGAAAAAAGACAATAACGATTTTTTCATAAAAAAAAATTCAAATATAGAGAAATATTTTACTTAAAAAAATGAAAATTTCTACTAATTTTTTGTATTTTTCAATTTAATTATTTAATATTTAATTTTCATAAAAAAAAATTTAAATACAGAGAAATATTTTACTTGAAAAAAAAATTAGTACTAATTTAAAATTAGAATTCTCACTTAAATTAAAATTTAGAGAAAAAAAATCTTGCATTTTTTTTTTATTTCATATACAGTTGTGCATAAAAAATTTGTCCTCACTGTATAATTTCAATTTTGCATTTCAAACTGTCTAGGCGCGCACACACAATATGTGCAAATGTCGACATTAATTGCATTTTAAAATTTTCTATACATATATATATATAACTTTCGCTTGAAAAGAGTGACAATTGCCATGATAAAAATTCTATTGACATGATGAACTTGATAAAATTTTTTATGAAGGATAAATGATGTTTGTCATTTTTGAAAAGAGGTCCGTGTTTGAGTGTAAACGTAAAAATTCACGCTAAATTATCAAATAATTACATAAATGATCGCTTCGTGTTCCTTCAAATGTATATAAAAACAGCATTTAGTCGAACAAAAACATTTATTTCAATCGGAAGTAATCTATTATATTTGCATTCTCTCTTTCTATGTATATATATATATATATATATATATATATATATATATATATATATATATACAGGTAAAATTATATAGAAATTATTTTCCTGATATGAAAGAATCTATGCTCCATTTATTTAAAGCAATTTTTTTTGTGCCATTATTTTCTCTTTGTATGGTGGTTACTCTGTTTAAATTAAAAGCCATTTATATTTATTTTGTTTGGATATTCGGTGTCTTGATTTTGAAATAACAAATAAAATTTCACTTTTTTATATAATGCTTTCTTCCAAATTTAAATTTTCCTCAATAAGAATTATTTTATTATTTTTATTGTTATTAGGGTAAGGGGTACAGTGACCGACACCCTGGGCATACTTTCAACTTTAAATGACATTTTATCGTAATTTATTAAAGATTTAGTTATAAAATAAATTTTAAATAAAAGATTTGGGTTAAAATTTATAGTACACAAGTTTAAAATTAAAAAACACCTTGATAAGAGTTTATAATATTAATTTAAAAATGTATGGTATGAAAACAGTGAACGACACCCTTTAATAAAATAAAAAATAATTAAACTTCTATTTAAGTAACATGATATTTATTAGTATTATCATAAATTTTATTATTCAGATTTAATGTACAAAAAAAGTTGCTTTTAAAATATAATTATTTAACAATTTTTTCATATTTATAAAATTTGTAATCAATAAAGCAAATTTTTTGAGGTTAGTTTTCTAGAAAGTATTAAATATTGAGGAAAATATAAACATATAAAATTTTGTATAAACTGTATAAGTTTTTAAATATTGTATATTAATTAATTTACTAGTGATATTTAATTTAATATTATTATTTTTGTAGTTATTATCGTTTTTAATAGCAGGTGTCGTTTACTGTCTGGGTGTCGGTCACTGTACCTTTTACCCTATTATTGTAATTAAATTATTAATTATGGAAATTAATTAAATTACTATAGCAATTACTAAAATTAAGAAAATAAAAATTTTAAAATTAAGATAAACAAAATTAAATATTTATTAAATGTAAATTTATTTTTTAATTCAAAAGGCAAAAATTTTTTTTAATAAAATTTGAACTCAAGTAGTAAAATAATTTTCCGTTTATTTAAAAGTTCAGAACTTGGAGAACAATTAAAATTTTTTATAATGAGAAAAAATATTAAACGAACTTTTTTTTTTAAATTATTTACTGAAAATATAATGTAAAAAACTCTTTACAATAAATCTGTTTTCATTTAACTTTTTTTTAAAAAAAATTGTATTTTTACAAGTTTTTTTTTTTATTGTACGCACAAATATGTATAAAGTGAAATTTAGTTGTAGGTCAACCGTATCAAAATGGTTTAATGTATTTTTGTTTGAAGGGATCATAATTCATAAAAAAAAAAAATCGATTATATAGTTTTTGGTATAGACGCAGGGACATAAATGCCCGGAATAAATATCGGAAAGAAATAAATGCTTCCCGTTTCCGTTTAGTTTATTTTCTCTCGTCTCTTCTTTAGTTCCGCGCACGCATCACTGATTCCTATTATTTGATTTTTTTTTGTTTTTAATCTTTAGATTTAAACGTTTCTTTGTAGCTTTGATTTCCATAACAAGAATCATCTTTAAAAAAAAAGTTTCTTCAAATAAATATCATTTTATCTGTCAGAAAAAGGAGTTCAATTTTTTTTTCTTTAGTCAGAGGTCTTTTTGAATATATTTATTTATTGAATTTTATTAAAAAGGAAAAAAGAATTGATTTCCATAACTAATTTCCTTTAATTTTTTTTTTTTTTTTTTTTATCTTTAAGAATTGTTTTAAGTTTAATTTCACGATATGGATTTCGTTTTGTGTATAATATATAGGAAAGCCCTTTGGGGGATTTTAAATATATGCGCAATGCTTTTGAACAGTTTCATTTTATCAATATACCGGAAAAGTTGAGGCGAAATAATGAAGTCACTTTATATAAGAAAGGAATTTCAAACGATGTGCTTTTATTACAAATTGGCGAGTTTTTTTTGGGGGAGGGGGATGAGTTTATTTCTTACAATTGTTGAATTGAAATGTAACTTTACACAGGGCTCGACATAGATTTGTTACGGTTCTCGATCTCAAGAGTAAAGTTCTGCAAACGGAAATCTCTTGCGACAGTTAAATCTTCAGAATTTCCTTTCGTGTCTTTTCTAAACTGAAATTCTCAGTTTTCATGATATTTCCTTTATTACCTGAAACTTATATTTATCTTGTTATATATATATTCTTTTCTGTTAAAAATAATTAAAATCGTAAAAATTTTTTTTGAGTTGTCATATTTTTTAAGATTTTTGTATTATTCGATTTGCTTTAGGTTTAGTCTCGATGCCACAGTTATTAAAGTCAAATTTGTAAATGAAATTTTTTATAGTTTTCTACATTACCGACCGGTTAAAAATTTAACAACGTACAGCGCTGACAGCCGAATTTTAAGTATAAAATAAATAAAAATTTTATAAAATGAATTTTAATTACATTAAAAATTTTTTTTTTTGCAGATTCTATTCTCGATGGCTTGTGGTGTTTCAAAGATAAGGGCAAAAAAAGAGGGAAAGGAAGGACACAATTTCTTCATATTCAGACTTTTTAAAACTCGGTCTATTTTTACGGTTAATTTTCGCATTTTCCAAATGGAAATTTAACTTGAAAGTAGGGATCTCCGAGGGCTATTTAGTTTTGAAAGAATCTCATTGAAGCTGGAAAATTCGTCATTAAGGTAAATATTTATTTATATAAGGAAAAAATTTTTTTAGTATACCAATTTTTTTTGACAATTAGGGAAATAATTGTTACTCTTTTTTTTCGCACATTTAGAAGAGGATATCTCTTTCAAGTAGATTAAATATTTAGAGATGTGTGTATATATTTTTATCGCGTGAGAAAAAATGTTTACGAAGCAGGTACACACAGCTTACCTTTCCAGTCTATAATCTGTATTGTAGATTATATATTCCAAGCTCGTAGGGAATTTGAAAAATAAAATGTATGCCATAAATTTTTCATACTCCAGTATACCAATTCAGCCAGAAAAAGAGGTTAATCCCCCTTTCTGTAATCCTTTAAATTTTATAGTCCTTCTCTTAATCTGTGAGGCAACATCGATTCGGAATTTAACTGTTACATATTTATCCTTCTCTCCTATATATATATATATATTCGTGAATCTGTCTTATATACGCAATGATTAACGCAATTTTTTTTATATTTTTATTTTTTCCTTTAGTTCGTCAATTTTATAATCGAAAATTATTTAAATTTAAAAAAAAATTGAATTCTTTTTCTTCAGAAAAATATGAATTTAAATAATTTTCAATTTTCCCTAATTTGTGGCTAAAAAAAATCAAATTCACTCTTCTGTGTCAAAATTCAAAATTACTCCAAATTCTCTGAACTGATAAGAGCCTTCAATTATTATTTTGCCTTTGGAATACATATTATGAAGTGCGATGAAAACAGTGTTTTGATATCTCTGATGATGTGCACATCGAATTTTATCGGTGTATTTTGTTCTTGTATAACCTGGGAAAATGAACGACTTTACGGTACGCTTAACAAAATGAATTAAAAAAAAAAAAATAAAAAAAAAAAACGAAAAAAAAAATATATGAAACTGGTTGTATACACGTTTATTGCGGTGTAGATGATGATGGTATAGTCATATACGACCAATTCATGTTTCCATGCACGACGATTATTATTTGCCATTTTAACTGATTTACACATTCATATGGTTTTGGTTATCATGTCCGCAGAACCATTTTCGATGTGGCGAAACACAAACAAACAAGTTCTCTGGGTTATATTCCCCACTTTGAAATCCGCACCGGTTCGCACAATTATTATTGCTGAGAGCTTACCTGGAAAAACTAATTATTGTCTTCATTGTTTTAAGCCCGACATAAACAATTTCGTTAATTTTCGCGAGCAATGTTAATCGACGTTGTGTATGCCGGCAATATCTATATTTATATATATATATATTTGTTAAATTCATCCACTTGAAAATTATACAAAAAGTAAATTTTACATTTGCGTTCGTATTTCTTTTTTCGTGGAAAAATTTTTTTCTTTTGAAATTTAATGATATTGATAACAAAAAATTTATTTCATTCAAATAATAATCGATTGCTTAATTAAAAATAAATATTTTCTTGAAGCAAATAATTTTTATTTGCCTGAAATTTTTGAGTCAATTTAAAATTTTATTTCATTCAAGTACATAATATATCTATATATAAGTCAACATTATAAGTTAACAAACATTATTATTATTATTATTATTCATAGTTCATATGCCTTTCGGCTTTTGAACGTTATTATTATTATTATTATTATTATCAAAAAATATTAATATTATATTATATTTGTCAATATAGGGGAAATACCTGAGTAATATCGGACCACTCCGTAATCAATTATATTTGACTATTATCAAATAAATATTTTCTTGAGCCAAATAATTTTTTATTGACTCAATTAAATTTTTATTTGAATTCAAAAATTTTTAATTTTGTTTCAAATATCGAAATTATTGGTTTAAATATTTATTTGAATCGAATAATTTTCTTTTTTGCTATCTTTTAGTATTATTTTCAATTAGAAAAATTAATTTTTTTTTGAGATAATTAAAATTTTTTTGTGATTACAATTAATAACTTAATTTGTATATAAATAATAGAGTTATTAATAGTTGTTTGTAATATACAATTTCCTTGACGCAAAATCTGTATACATTTATTTTTACTTAAATTGAGAGAAAATTCTCTTCAATTTAGGGTATTTCAGTCTCTAAAATTTGCAAGCAGGAAGCAACAGTTTCTTTGTAAATTAGCTCTATTCAGAGAATCTAGAACTACAGGTACTTGCTTCTCTGATTTGCAGAAAAGATCATGAATTTAGAATTTTTTTTATCCTTATCTTTGAAATCTTGAAAAAAAAATAATAAAAGAGCTCGGAAAATGACACATTGTTCGGGATTTTTTCCTCTATTTTTTTTTTTTTTTTGAAATATTTTTTTTTTAATAAAACGCAATATATAATTAATGAAACGAAATATTTTTACAAAAATATAAAATTATTAAAAAAAATATAAAAAAATATGTTTCATATTTAAAAAAAAAATTAATCTCATATTTTGCGGTTGGTTCTAAATATAACAAGTCAATTAAAATTTTTGAAATGCTTTAGGAATCATATCAATTTTTAACGAGGTTTATTATTTAAAAACAAAAATTATAAAAAAAAAAAAATAAATGAAAAATCGCGTTTCATTCCTAAATATTTTTTCAAATAACATTTTTTAAAATGATTTTTAATTTATGGGAATGTTTAATTATTTTAATTAGCAATTAAATGTATTTATATTTTGTGAATGCAAATACTGTAAACTCTATATATATTTAATCGAATGATAATAATATATGGAATGAACATTGGCTTTGCCTTCAATTTAAATGGTTTATATAAGTTGTGTTTAATCACAGTAATATTTTGTTTAATTATGTATAAAGGGGGGGGGGGAATACTTTTTTTGAAACACTTTTTCTGTATTTAAAAATTTTTTTTAATCAATTCATTATTATATATAAATATTTAATAAGAGAATTTTTTTTTCTTTTTTTTTCAATGAAATGGCAAATAAATCAGCTATAGATGTAATTAATCCAATATTCTCTTTAGCCACTATACTGTTTCTAAAGTAGTATTTGTGTCACACACAGAAATTGCTTTGTGAACAATTATATATTTCATGATTTATGCGCGCGAATTTAGCTTATCAAACTATTGTTACCAGCATTAGTTTCCAAATATCATTAGCAAAACAGACATGATATGTTTGTTTTAGTATTTATGGTTATTATCATACTCACACAAATGAATAATATATAAAATAATAATAATAATAATAATAATAATAATAATAATAATAATAATAATAACAGTAACAAATAATAATAATAAAAATAATATAATTATTATTATATTAAATTCAATTTTTTTATTTATTATTATTCTTTTTATTTATTATTACTATTATAGTAATAATAATAATAATAGGGGAATATACTCAGGGTTGGACACTTCGCTTTTCTTAAAATAAGAACACTAGCGCCATCTACGCACGGACGTGGCGAAGCTTCTTGTAGTGAAACCTAACTTTTTGTGCCATTACATTTTTTGGAGGATCAAAAGTAGCGTCTGCTGTGACGTCGGTGCATTTGTAGGAACGAAAAAAGTTTTGTAAGCGATGTGATTAAACATAAAAAATGAATAAAGAAAATAAGTAAGGAAAGTTTATCGCATGTATTGTGAGGTTCATGATTGAAGAAAAAAATGAAGTGTAAAATCGAATCGCGAAACATGTCTGGTTATGGTTAGCACAATTTGAAAATGTTACTTCTACTTAGGGTTGGACATTTTGTTAATTATGAATTTGACATTTTGACAAAAAAATAACTTAATTGACTAAATTTTTTTTTCTTTTTTTAAATTATAAACAAAGTCCAAAACGGTGTCCAACCCTGAGTATATTCCCCTACATTATTTATATTATAATATTCATTATATTATTTCCAATTCGATTTATTATTATATTAGAAATATAATATTGAAAATATAATTTATTCCGTTTTGCTGGATTTATATATATGCGATAGTTCCACACATATATATATATATGAGTCGACAAATTATCGAAATTGTAAGCTCAGCACTTGAATATCAGTGTTGAATGTTGGCAAGAATGTTTTCTGAACCGAGAAGATAATTAGCAGACTCGCGAAAATTTGGAATTAATCTAATGGGCGTTATGAGCGCGCTTATGTAATTTATCCCCCACGAGAGTCGTTTTATATTCATTTGAAAAAAAAAAATTCGTGTCATTTCTTTTTAGAGATTTTTATTGCCGAGAAAAAAAAGGGAAAAATCTTAAAATATTTTTTTTTCATCATCGTAGATTACATAGTCGATTTAAATAAGAAAAAATTTAGTTAAAATATTTATTATTATTATTATTATTATTATTGCATGGGAAAAAAATCTTTATCTGGAACAAAGATATGTTTTTCTAGAATAACGAAAACTTTCGTTATTTTAAGGAATTATATCACTGTTTCAGTGAAAATTATTGCTGTTACAGGTAAAAATTTTTTTCCGTGTGTTATTATTATTATTATTATTATTATTTATTATTTTATTTATTCATAGTCCACACCTTTCGGTTTCGGACGAACTTCCGGTTTACATCTTTCTATTCTTATATTTTTATATTATTATTATTATTATTATTATTATTATTATTATTATTATTATTATTATTATTATTTGAAACAAGAATAAAAATCCCTGAACCTGTTTGAGGACAACTCGTGATATTTATCAATACAAGTTTCATTGATGGAAAATTATAAATATATATATATATAGTTGAGATTGTAGATTTCCTAGCAAATTCATGTCCCTGTTCAGTTCTTTTAAAAGGGTCAATTCCCACCGACTACGTTATCTGATGTCAATTGATGTCAATTAACGCAATGATCGTACGATTTCGTATCAGCCAATGAAATTTAAGAATTGAATCGAGCCTCCGTCGCTGTCAACGAAGAATAAATGATTATTTAACTTAAACTCGTAAACATCTTGTTGGCATTAATCTTCAAAACCGCGTCGCTGACGCGCTAAAATCTCTCTCTCTCTCTCTC